GCCAGCATTTGTTATTTTCTGTCTTGTTGAACTTTGCTACTAGTGCTGGAGCAAGATGGTATCTCATTGTTGTTTTGATTTGCATCTCTCTAATAGATAATGATCGTGAGCATTCCTTCTTCAGAATATTCTTGACTACCTACGTACATTTTTTTCTTTCACACAAACTTAGAAATTAGCTTGGTAAATTCCATAAAGAAGTTGGTTGGAATTTTAATTTGGATTGCATTTCATGTATAAATTTTATTGGGGAGCTTCATGATATCAAGTCTTTCCATCCACAAACACAGTTCACCATTTATTTAGAATTCTTTTTGTCCTTCAGTGAAGTTTCACCATGTTTGCCTATTAGGTAATATCATTCCCAATAGTAATATCATTGCAGTGGCTACAGTGATGGGCTCAGGTATAGCAAGGATTGTGAGGCTGGCATAGGACTGGGCAGTGTTTGGTTCTGCCGTACACAAGGTCACCATAAGTCGGAGCTAACTTGATGGCCCCTTACAACAACATCATCTCATTGTGGTCTTAATTTGCATTTCCCTGATTACTAGTAAGACTATGTACCTTTTAGTATGTTTATTGACCATTTGAATATTCTCTTTTGTGGGTGCCCATTCAAATATTTTACTCATTTTTAACTGGATTGTCTATCTTTTTCTTTTGATTTGTAAGATTTCTCTAGAAGGCATGCATTCTAGCCCTCTATCAATTACATGTATTGGAGTTATCTTCTATCCTGTGGCTTGTCTTTTCATTCTCTTCATGGTTATTTCTGATGAGTGAAAGTTCTTTAATTTATCTAATCTGTCAACTTTTACCATTATAATTACTGCTTTTGTGTCTTGCTTAAGAAACCATTCCCTACTCTGAGGTATTTTCAAATAGTTTTATATTTTTTCTTCCACATTTACATCAGTGATGAACCTGGAGTTGCTTTTTTGCATGGTGCAATTCCTTTCTTTTTTTTTTCCCTATGGATACCCGCTGTCTCTGCACCACTTATTAAAAAGACTATCATTTACTCACTGCTATGAAGTACCGACTCTGTCAAAATCAAGTTTCTATGTTAAGTGTGATCTGTTTGGCATTCTCAATTCTATTCCAGTGGTCTCTGACTACCCTAGACCAACACCTCTCTGTGCTAATTCATATAGTTTTATAATAATTCTTGATAAGAAGCTGATCTGGCAAGCCCTTCTCTACTGCTCGTTTTGTTCAAGAGTATCTTAGCTATTCTTGTTTTCTTCATTAGACAATGAAGAATTCCATATGAATGTCAGGAGGAGTTTTCAAGCTCCATTCCCTATACCCACTTGCCATAAAAAAAAAAAAAAAGTAACTAAACAGTTCAGATTTTGGTTGGGATCGCATTCATTCTATAAATTAATTGGGAATAACTGACATCTTTACAATATTGTGACTACTAAACCACAAAATAAATGGTACTTTTTTCATTTATTTAGGTCATTTTATGTTTATCAATAGTTTTATTCTTTTCCTCAGAGTTACATCCTTTGTCTGATTTATTCCTAGTAATTGGTTTTTTATGGTATTATAAATGGCATCTTTTAAAAAGTTTTATTTTCTATCTGTGCCAGATACATAAAGATATATTTATAGACAGATAAAGACATAAATAGTATACAGGCAGTCCCTGGGTTATGAATGTGATCTGCTCCTAATGATGTCTTTAAGAGTTTGTATGTCTTATTTACCCTTACATTAGTACCAGAAAAGATTTGAAGTCTTTCCAATGATTTAAAAGCTGTAAGTGCAACAAGTGAAGGGTACTGTGATGAGAAATTTGCTGTGAGTAGGAGTTGGTTCAATCTTTTCAAAGTGAGGGCAAAAAAATTTACACAGTATTACAGGGCAAGAAAGAGTTGTCCATAAATTGAACGTTCATAACCCAGGGACTGCCTGAGTTGATTTTGTAACTAGTTAAACTGTTTTATTGATTCAAAACGAGTCTTTTGAATTTTCTATGTACATATTTTATCATCCATGAATGATAGTAGATGCTTTTCTTCATGTATTGAAAGTACAGGATGTCCCCGTCTCCCCTTTTTAGGGTAATATACTGAACTATGGTCACAAGTTAAACTTTGCATTCTTGGAACAAACCCAACTTGGTCATGATAGGTTAATCTTTTTGTCCATTGATGGATTCAGTTGGTTTTTGTTTTATTTGGGATTTTGCATTTATTTGCATTTTGAGATTGGCCTATAACTTTCCTTTCTTCTACCTTTTTCAGACATAGGAACCAACATTTTACTAGTCTCATAAAATATGTGGGGAGAGTTCTCCTCTGTTTTCTAAATAAATGTGTATAAAATTGAAATGATTCAATCACTGAATATTAGGTAGAAATCACTGATGAATTCAACAGGTTCTGGAATTTTCTTTGTGGGGCAATTTTGATCACTGACACAATCTCTGTAATACAGAAACATTCAGATTTTCTATTTGAGTCTGTTTTTAGTAAGTTCTACTTCTTTCTAGAAATTTGTCCATTTTATCTAATTTTTTAAATTATCAAAAATTTGTTCATAATAGTCTCTTAATACCATTTCGATGTTTACAGGAGCCACAGTCATGTTTCCGTATTATCCCAGTCCTCTCTATTTTTCTTATCCATCTCAATTAAGTCAATTGTATTAGCCTTTACAAAAAAAAATCAATACTTAGCTTTTTTGTTTTTGAATAATCCTGTATTAATTTTCTTTGTCATAATTTATGCTCCTTTTCTTATTATTCACTTCTATACACTTTCTCTAGGTTTACTTTGCTATCTTCTTTTTATTATTATTATTATTATTTTATTTTATTGTGATTTGGGTGAAGATTTACAGAGCAAATTCACTTTCCATACAGCAGTTCACATACACTTTGTCTCATGACATTGACCACAGTTTACCAC